AGAGGCAGGAAGGACCCTCCTCTAGAGGCTTCGCGGGGAGCACCCCGAGTTCAGACTCGTGGCCTCCAGAGGAGGAGAGAATAAATTCCAGGTGTTCGAGCCCCTCGTCCGCAGCGTTCGCCACGTCCGCCCTGGGATCCTAACTTAGGCCCCCGCCCTGCCCAGCCTTGACTCCTCCTGCCACCGTGCCCGCTTCCCCTCGTGTGCACCGAAGGCACAGGGCCCCTCGGCATGGCTGCTGTGCTGTCCTTCCAAGGGGGCGTTTACGGTGGCGGGCGGCCGAGAAGCGCAGCTGCCGTGATTCTTTGCACAGGAAAACATGAGGCCGTGACCCCCCAAACCTCGTCCTGTTTCATCGTGCGAGATTCTCGGGGTCCCTCCCTGCCCCCCTTTCTCCCTCGGCCTTTTATTGCCCACAGATTCCAGGCCGAGAGCCGCCTGCTGGACTCGGCTCCGCTGCCCTGACCGCACAGCAGAGCTACCTGGGGAGCGGAGCATCCGTCCCTGGGCGTCTGCCACGTCCCGCGGGCGCCCCGGGTTTGCAGTAGAATCATCCCACGTTCTGAAAAGCGGACGCTTATCTCAAGTGCCCCCACAACCCCCTTCAGGTGACATGCAGGGGGAGGGGGAGACCACGAGAAACCGCCCGTCAGTCTCCAGTGTTGTTTCTTGGAATAAATCTTCGCAGCACAGAGACGTCACTGCTGGACTGAGTCATTTATTTGGATTTGAGAAGCAGGGGGCCCGAGGAAAGAGCAGGGTGAAATGCAGACAGCGAGAAAATGAGCTCTGGGCAAGGGGGCCCCAGGAACCCCAGATTTCAGCCCTCAGATGCTTCAGAGGGGAACCAGTGCCCAGACCCGGAGCGTGTGCCCAGTGGGCTCCGAAAATCAGCAGCAGAGTGAGTGGTGAGTCGACACCCCCGACCTCCAGCCCCCGGCTCCGAGCGAGCCTGACTCACGGTGCCTGAAATGCTGACTCCATCGACTTAAAAAAGAAACAGATGAAATTAATCTTAATAGTAGATTTTATTTAACTCAGCATATCCAAAATATTACTATGTCAACATGTAACCAGTGTAAAATTATAATGAAATATTTTACTCTTTTTTTTCTGCTAAGTCTTCGAAATCGGCGTGCGCTTTGCTCTCACAGTGCGTCTCAGTTCCAAGGAACTCACCAGCTCCCGTGCCCGGCACTGCAGGCCCCCATCTCCCTGGGGCTCTGGGGAGTGTTCACGTCCCTCCCCCCCCCACCCCAGCCGCTGGCCCTGGCGTCTCCTTCAAGGCCCACTGTGGCCGTCAGCTGCCCACGCACTGCCGCCCACCTCAGACCCGGCTCTGAGCCCACCTGTAGAAGTCAGAGCAGTGCCCCCCAAAGATGTCACGTCCTAATCCCCAGAAGCGGTGAATGTGTCCCCTGACACAGCAAAGGGGACGCTGCAGATGTGGAAAAGGTAGGGGTCTTGAGATGGGGTGATGACCGCGTCACCCGCGTGAGCCCCGAGTCATCACAGGGTGCGCGTAGGAGATCCGACTGCAGAGACGTGACCGTGGAAGCAGAGACGGGGGGTGGCCTTGGAGGACGGGGGACAGGGCTGTGAGCCAGGGAAGGCAGGCGGCCTCTAGAAGCTGGACAAGGCCCGGAAATGGGTTTTTCCCTGGAGCCTCCAGAAGGTGTGGATGCCTTGATTTTAGCTCGTAAGACCCAGAGCTGTATGATAATAAATTTGTCTTGTTTTAAGCCACTAAATTTGTGGTAAGTTGGTAAGCCACCAGAAACAGATACACGGCTGTGTGGTGAAGGCCACGCAGCCAGCGTCGTGCCGTGCCCCCTCTGCTGGGACCCCTCACGGGCAGGCAGGGGACGGAGCGGGCCCGGGCCAAGCGGGTTTGGGATGTTGGGATGGAGTGTAGAAGTCTCAGGAGGAGGAGTCAGCAGGCGGGGTGGTGGGCGAGTCGGCGGCGGGGCTGAGGGTGGACGCTCACTGTCTCCCGGCCTCTCTGGGTGTGTCACCACGCGTCTGCAGTCGGCGTCTGCTCGCTGTCTCCCACCCGCCAGCCCGTCAGGACAGGACAGCGTCCGTGCTGCTCACCGGGCTCCATGAGGGGACTGGCGCACAGTGGGTGCTCGATAAACACGAATGAACGTGAGCAAAGGAAGAGATTTGAGTTTCCGGTCCTTAGAGCGTAGAAGAGCTGATCGGGTCAAGAATGGGGGAGGGGACGAATGAGCGAGCGCACTCACGGCCCCGGGCTCAGCGGGAGGCTGGACCGGGGCGCCTGGTGTCGGAGGACTGGGGTTTGCGTCGTCTTTCAGGGCGAAGAACTTTATCGATAGCTGGTAAAGCAGCAGTAGAGAGACTTCGGTTTACACTGACCCCTTCCCTGTCCCCAGAGGAGACAGGGGACATCCTGGGCTCAGGGCCTTTGTTCCCGCTGCCCCTCTACCTGGAATGCTGTTTCGTGTCCTAGGGCTGCGTGACAAAGTACCGCCAAAGCAGGCTTAAAACCGTGGAGACTCGTCCTCCACGTCTGGTGGCAGGAAGGTGGGGTCCAGGTGTGGGCGGCGTGGGCGCCTTCTGGAGCCTCTGGGGACGTGGAGACAGAGTCGGCTGCGGCCTCTCTCCCGGCCTCTGCGGGTGGCCGGCCACCCTTGGTGTCCCTCGTTTGTCTCTGTTGTCACAGGATGGTTTCCCTGTGTCTGTGTCTCTGTGCCCTCATTTCCATGTTCTGTGACACCAGCCATTGGCTGAGGGCCCACCCTGTGATTACATCTTTAAAGATTCTGTTTGCAAATAAGGTCTGGGCGGACGTGAATTTGGGAGGACGTCATTCAGCCCGGTACAGATGGCTTCCGCCAGCCAGGCACCCAGCACTGTCCTCCGGCCCCTGGTCGCGGGGTCCCGAGGCCCTTTACGCACTTTCTCTGAGTAGCAGCCCCGCGTCTCAGCCCTGCAGCCGCTGCCGCTGCTTCCCACACGTTGGCGCCTGGTGTGTTGGTTTTTTTTGCTGATTTCTTTATCACCCTCCCCAGTTTCCCCGCTAGAACGTAGGTTCTCAGCAGCAGGGCCGTGGCTGGACGTGCTCCCTGCTGCGGACACACCGGGCAGGGGCCCCGAGTGAGCAGGTGTGAGCAGGCGGAGGCCAGGGAGGAGGCTGGGTCCCCGGGAGGCTGCGGGACAGGGGCCAGCGGGCATCGGGTCGGGTCTGAGGTGTCTGGGAGGCAGAATCAATGGCAGGTCTTCCAGATGGCTCGCTGGGGTGGGAGGGACGGGGGAAGAGACCCGGAGGCCCAGAGGTGGCTTCTATGCATCGAGCCGCAAACACAGCCATTTGTTTCTGGGGTTCTGGAATTTCCTGGGTCTCCAGATCGATCCTGCTAATGGGCCTCTGGCTTCCTCCTTCTTAGAGAAAATCAATCCTCAGAGGTTGCCTTAGTGCTTCCGTAATTACACCCCTGGGGGTCTTCTCTGTCCCCTCCCGCAGGTCCGCCCTGGGAGGCCAAGGGCAGTCAGAGGACCAGGGTCCACTCCTAGCCCCCGGGGAGGGGGCTGGCCCCTCTGGACTTCCCCGGGAACATGTGTGTGTTTGGGGTGGACTCTCTTTCCTGGCCAGAGAGGGACCCTGTGACCCTGAGGCCTGAGGGATGCGACCTCTGAGGCCATGGGCCACATGGCCACTAAGCCCCAGTCAGTAACATAGCCCTTCCCCACCGAGCCTCGGTTTCACTCGATTCAGGGGGAAACCACTGTGACTCACGTCATGGAAGGCAGCTGCTCCCGGGGGGGCCCAGGGCCTGGAGCTCAGCTCCCTTGGGGCCGTCTCAGCGGTGACCAGACAGAAAGGGGTGACATGTGGGCGGGTCCCGGGGCCGCCGTCCAGGCAGGAGCTCCGTAGCTGTGGGTCCCCGCTCCCGTTCCCGTCCCCACCCCAGGGTCCGTCTCCTCAGCTGTGGGAGCCCAGGACGTGGGGGCCGTGTCCTTCCACGCATTTCCGTGGGGTGCTGCCCAGGAGCACTGGTCTCAGGGTCACCACCGTGCAGTCGGTGCCACGTCCCGACGTGTCCATTACTTCCAAACACAGAGGGGAGGGTGGCCTTGGTGACCCCTCTCCCGCTGGCACTGCGGGCTGGGGCTTCAGAGCTCTCGGGGGCCCTGCCTGCACCTCCGTACAGACAGGAAGCGGGCCACAGACCAGGTGGGGCTGGCCCGCTGCCCTGGGCCTGATTCCAGTACGGCCGGAGCCCTGGTGCCTCCGCGGCCACCTGGACACGCGGTCAGCGGGGAGGGTGCTGGTCCCTTCAGGAGCTCAGGGGCCAGAGAGAGACATGGATGAGCCGACAGGCCGCCGAGGCCTGGGCCTGGTGGGGAACGTTCTGCAGAGCAAACAGGGCGCCCTCTGTGTGGGCGTGGCCGGTGCCCGCGCCCTGCGTCGGCCACATGTCAGCTGAGTGTTCTCGGCAGGAGCCTCTGCCTCTGAGCCTCCTCCTAGCCCTCGGGTCACCTGTGGGATGGATGGAGTGACACAGTGTCAGGGTTTCATGAGGAATCGGAGACGGAAGGACCTAGAAGTGTCCGGCACGTGCGAGGCCCCCACAGCCAGCGAGGTGCGGACGCACTGGGGGGCTGAGTGAACTGTGGGGAGATGCCGAAGGCGGTGCCTTGGTGGGCAGACTGGATGGCGCTCGCCGGCAGAGGGTCCTGACGCCACATCCCAGCCCAGGCCGGGGCGAGCGCTCGGTGTCCCCGAGGGAGCCCAGCGCCCCGCTGCCCCGGGCGAGGGGGACTGCCCTCAAGGCTGTGCTGGGTGCTGCACCCACTGGCCCGTGGCTGGTGCTGCGTCCGGTCCTGGGTGCTGCACCCACTGGCCCGTGGCCGGTGCTGCGTCCGGTCCTGGGTGCTGCACCCACTGGCCCGTGGCTGGTGCTGCGTCCGGTGTGGGACCGGCGCGCCCTCCATGGGGAGGCGGGTCGCTGACAACTGTCATCCTCCTCCCCCAGGTCGTCGGACTTCGGGACGTCGTACACCAAACTCGCTCTGCAGCCCGGCGTCACCACCGTCATCGACAGCTTCTACATTTGCCCAACGAACAAGAGGAAGGTACGTGCCACGCCCCGGCGCCCGGGCCGTGCAGCCGGGCCCTGCTCGGGGACCGGCTCGGAGACC